CAGAGGAGGAGATCTAGGTTTGAGCTCCTACCCCAAGTCCCAGCTTTGCAGGAAGGGAGAGTCTTTAGTGTCCTCTGGCCCTCCCAGCTCACTACTTAGTGAGCATGACACTGTGTGATGTCCTGAGATGGTATCTGCCTACCCCTTCCTCTAGCTGTTCTCTCTGTCCTTCCTACCCCGGGTGTTCCTGTGTTGGGAGGGGACCTCACCATCAGTGCCTTCCTGCCTTTGGAGTCAGTCCCTCCCAGTGTAGGAACCCACACACTGCACTTGGTGCTTTGCATACTTTATCTCATTGAATTCTCATGCAGGCCTAGCCAGATGAGATGTTCATACTCCCATCTCACAGATGAGAAAATGGATGTTCAGAGGGAGAATGTTGGTTCGCCAAGATCATGGAGCTGGGTGCAAACCCACACATGCTTTTGAGACCACACCCTTCCCTCCTTGCCTGTGGGCCCTGGCCCCTGGCGTGCTGGGGCAGGGTGTGGGGTTCTCCTGGGGTTGGCTCTGATGGTGGACCCCCTGCCTTCTGCTTCTTTCTCATCCTCCATTCCTAGGAACTCAGGCTTTTCCGCCTTTGCCCTGCAAGGCTGGTGCCCCTGTGTGTGGCAGGCTGGAGCTGGGGTGATGTCCTCCAGGAGGGTGAGGCTGAATCCTCAGATGCTGCTGCTGCCGTGGGAGAGGTGGCGTGGGGGGACAGCTGCCATGGCAGGTGATGGAGTGAGTGTGCTGTGTGTGTGAGTGACATGTACAAACACTTGCCCAGATGCACACATATGCACACACAGGCAAGGCTGTACTATTGCTACCAAGGGGGAACTCTAAAAAGTCTATATAAGGTTATTATTATATTGTAATGCCTATAGCAATCACTTAAAGAAAAACAGTAAAAAAGACAAGTATTAAAAAATAATCAAATAATCGAAAGGAAGGAAAAAAGAAACATAGGAAGAAAAACCAGAGAAAACAAATAGAAAAATAATTAAATGGGAGACCTAAATCCAGTCATATCAATAATTACATTAAATATATATGACTTATAAATGAGGTAATATATATAAAAGTAACGATCTTAAGAAATAATGGTTAAGAACTTCCCAAATTTCCTGAAAGACATAAATGTATATCAAGATCTGCAAAGGGAAACAAGACAAACTCAAAGAAAAATCATACTAAGACATACCATATACTCTAGTATATATACTATATGTACTACATATATAGCAATAAATAGTATTTTCTTTTTAAAAAATGTGAATAGTCTAAACACACCAATTAAAAGACAGAAACTGTCAAATTATATAAAAAATAAAAACCAAGTATATGCTATCTATAAGAATCACATTTTATTGATATAGCCAAAATAAGAGGATAGAAAAAGATTAATCACATAAATCCTAATAATGTGGCTATATTAATATCAGATAAGGCAGACTTCAGAACAAGGAAAATTACAAGGAACAAAGAGAAACACTGAATAATGATAGGAGGGTTTATCCACCAGGAAAATATAGTAATAATCCCAAATGCATATGCAACTAATAACAGAGCTTCAAAAGACATAAGGCAAAAACTGGTAGAATTAAAGGCGAAATAGACAAATATACAATTATAATTGGAAGTTTCAATGCTGTTCTTTGCAGTAAGTATAGCAAGAGGCCAGAAAATGAGCAGGAATGCAAAAGACTCACCTAGACCTCACCAACATCTACGGAACACACCATCCAACAGCAGCACACATTGATTCCAAGGGCACATGTGACATTCACCAAGATAAAGCATATTATCAGCCAAAAAGCACACCTTAACAAAATAAAGATTTAAAACCATACAAAATATGTTCCCTGACCATAATGGGATTAAACTAGAAATAAATAACAGAGAGATATCAAAAAACATCCCCAAATATTTGGAAATTAAACAACAAATTTCTAAATAAGATAAGCCAAAGAGGAAATTTCAAGGGAAAACAGACGATATTTTGGGCTAAATAGAAAATGGAAATACAGCATATCACAACTGTGAGCTGTAGCTAGAACAAAGCTTTAGAGAAAAATATGTAGCATTAAATATTTCTGTCAGGAAAAAAAAAGTCTCAAATCAGTCATCTAAAATTTCACCTTAAGAAATTTTAAGAAGAGCTAAAACCCAAAGAAATTTTAAGAAGAGATAAAACCCAAAGACTTCAGAAGAAACGAAATAACAGAAATAAGAGGAGAAACCATAAAATCTAAACGAAAATAGAGAAAATCAATGAAATTAAAATCTAACCCTTTGAAAAGATCAGTAAAATTGATAAACCTCTAGCCAGACTGATCGGGCAAAAAAGAAAATCCAGAAATTACCATCTAAGGAATGAAATAACCCAAGCACTACAGACATTAAAAGGGTAAGAGAACATTACCAAAATCTCTATATTCATAAATTTAACAACTTAAGTGAAATAAAACAAGTCCTTGAAATAGACAAACTGTGGCCAGGCACAGTGGCTCACACCTGTAATCCCAGCATTTTGGGAGGCCGAGGCGGGCAGATCACTTGAGGTCAGTAGTTTGAGACCAGCCTGGCCAACATGGCAAAACCCCGTCCCTACTAAAAATACAAAAATTAGCTGCGCATGGTGGCAGGCGCCTATAATTCCAGCTGCTCAGGAGGCTGAGGTAAAGAATCCCTTGAGCCCGGGAGGTGGAGTTTGCAGTGGGCCAAGATCAAAGCACCATATCCAGCCTGGTCAACAAAACAAGACTCCATCTCAAAATAAATAGATAAACAAGCCACACACTAGAAGAAAATATTTTATAAATTAAATATCTGACAGTTTATTAAAAAATTCTGAAACTTAGTAGTAAGAAAACAGACAACCTAATACGAAAAATGGACAAAAGATATGAACAGACACTTCACCAAAGAAGATATTTGAGTGGAAAATAAGCATATGAAAACATCCTCAACAACTTTCATCAGCAGGAAATGTAAAACAAAACCACTTTAGAGTGAGTTGTGGTGGCTCACGCATCCCAGCACGTGGGAGGCAGAGCTTGAGCTCAGGAGTTCAAGACCAGTCTGGCCAACATGGTGAAACTCCATCTTTACTAAAGATATAAAAATTAGCCAGGCGTGGTGATGGGCAGGTGCCTGTAATCCCAGCTACTGAGGGAGGCTATGATAGGAGAATCACTTGAACCCAGGAGGCAGAGGCTGCAGTGAGCCAATATCACACCATTGCACTCTAGCCTGGGCAAGAGAGCAAAACTCTGTCTAAAACACACACACACACACACACACACACACACACACACTTTAAGTGCCACCATATATCTATTAGAAATGGCTAACCATTTTTTTAAAAATTGACAATATTAAAGGGTGCCGATACTGAGGAACAAGAAACACGGCTGCTTGGAACACAAGATAGGACAGACATTCTGGAAAACAGCCTGGCAGTTTCTTATAAACATACACTTACCCTATGACCCAGAAATTTCACTACTAACCATTTACTCAAGTGAAATAAAAACCTGCTTCCACACTGAAAACCTATAAGATGAGTATTTATAGCACCTTTATTTGTAGTCAGCAAAAACTGGAAAGGTTCCTAGACCAGGCACAGGACAGACAAGCTGCAATCCATCTATATAACAGAACACTGCCCAGCAATAAAAACACAGGACCTGTTGATGCTAAAAAGCACAGATGAGCCGGGCACGGTGGCTCATGTCTGTAATCTCAACATTTTGGGAGGTCAAGACGGGCGGATCACCTGAGGTCAGAAGTTCGAGACCAGCCTGGCCAACATGGTGAAACCCCTTCTCTACTAAAAATACAAAATTAGCCAGACATGGTGGCACATGCCTGTAATCCCAGCTACTCGGGAGACTGAGGCAAGAGACTTGCTTGAACTCAGGAGGCAGAGGTTGCAGTGAGCCGAGATTATACCATTGCCCTCAAGCCTGGGCAACAAGAGCAAAACTCCATCTCAAAAATAAAAAAAGAAAAAAAAAAAAAAACAGATGAGCCAGGTGCCATAGCTCACATCTGTAATCCCAGCACTTTGGAAAGCTGAGCAGGGAGGATCGCTTGAGCTCAGGAGTGTTCGAGACCAGCCTGGGCAACATGGCAAAAACCCATCTCTACAAAAAATACAAAAATCAGCCAGGCATAGTGGTGTGCACCTGTAGTCCCAGCTACTCAGGAGGCTGAGGTGGGAAGATGGCTTGAGCCTGAAAGGTGGAGGTTGCAGTCAGCTGCAATCATGCCATTGTACTCCAGCCTGGACAACAGAGCCAGACCCTGTCTCAAAAAAAAAAAAAAAAAAAAAAAAAGATTGATGATGTTGTCATTTTGCATATCTTCTGAAAGATCACATCTTGCTGAGGAAACTCCCATGCTGTGTTTTGCCATCAAATAAGGAACAGTTTGTCAGCTTAAGTCACCACCACAGAAGAACTTACTCACAAAGGCCGGAGCACCAGAGGCCAAGCCCAGCTGGCCTGGATGGCACCCTGAGAGCTGGGCCATCCCTGCCGGTCTGTGTGGGTTTATCCCAGGTGCTTTATGAAAGCCTCACAAACATGCACCCCGCTTGACATACAAGTGGAGAAAAACCCTCCATGGGAGGCTTCTTCCTGCCACTCAGCCCTGGCTGGCCTCGAGGGGGTGGCTCAGACTCTGCCCCTCTTCACCAGGGCTGCCGCCCTGCCCAGAGACACACCTCCTGGTTCTATTGCAAGCATTCCATAGCACCTCACTGGTCAACAGAACGCAGCAGAAAATGAGACCCCCGTGGAATTTTAGGGCCCTGTTAGGTGGCTTATATTTTGGGATGTCAGCTCCATTTGAGAAGCCACTGCAAGCTAAGGGGCATTCTTCCCAGTTAAACACACCCACACATAGAACATGCATGAGATTTCAAAGACTTCGCCAAAGCTCCCCAAAGGCCTGTCCCTATCAGCTACTGCAGAAAACAGGGAAACGGCGGGACGGTGGGGGCCACTCACCTTCTCCAGCTTCTCTAAGTGCTCCCGGAGGAACTTCATGGGGCGCTCGGGCTTGGAGATGCAGAGGTGCACGATGCAGTCCTTGAGGACCTGCTGGATCCCGTGCAGCTGCACGTACAGCTCACAGCCCTTCAGGCTCTCGTCCTCCTCCGAGGGGCAGGCGGGCGGGGAGGCCATGGCGAGTGCTGCTGCTTCCTTCCTGTCCAGAAAACAGATCACCGAGGCCTGAGAGCGGCCCGGGGCTGCGCGCCGGATAAACTCAGGCGGCGTGAATCAGGCTTCTCCAAGGAGCGGGTAAGAAAGTCACTGATTTCTCATTTGTCAAAGATCTTTCATTCCGGGGGGCCAGGTGAGTTGTTAAACGTAACGACCCCCAGAGCTTTCCCTCTCAACAGACCCGGCAGGGGTGAGGGGCTCGGACACAGGCGCACGCGGCTGGGAAGTCCCTTCTGCGGCTCCGAGGATTCCGCGGTGGGAGGAGTAGGGGGGCCCGGCGCCCTGTGGGTCCATCCCGGGGGTTACAGGGCCTCGCCCTTCTCCATCCCCCCTTTCTGGGGGCACTCGTGTGAAATGTGAATGCTGGGGGGGGCCCTGCGCGCGGCCTCAGGGGAGGGAGAGAGGAGGATAAAGCTGTGGATGGGCTGGGCGGGCCTTTTCACAGGAAAAAGCAGAAACGCAGGTAAACAAGGGGAGCCGGGCGGGGGAAATGGGGGGAAACAAACGCGGCGGCTGCGCAGGCGAAGTCACCAAGGCCAGGCCCGGCCGCTCCCGCCCCGCAACGCAGAGCGCAGGACCACAGCCCAGCCGAGCCGCCACCGGGGAAAGCGGCCTCCACCCCAAGATCCCGCAGCCCTAGCCCCAGCCCCGGCCCCTGCGCCGGTGAGGAGGCTCCGGGGACCCCTGACTGGGCGCCCCAGGACCGGCTCCGCCCCGCGCGTCCCCCCACTCCCTGGGGGCCGAACCCTCCTAGATGCCCGCATGCCTGAGGGGAGTCCCAGGCCCGGGGATCCCGACACAGACCCCAGCCCAGCCCCACGTACCTGGATGCGCGGCGCCCGAGGCCAGGAAGTGGCTGCGCCGGTACGCGGGGCGCGGGGACTACGGGTAAGCGAGCTAGCGGGTACCCGCACTGCAGCGGCGCCGCCACCCGCCCCGCCGCCCAGGCAGGCCCGCAGCCCGTCCCCCCCCCCCCCCCCCCCCCCCCCCCCCCCCCCCCCGCAACCCCGGCCCACCCAGACTCTCCCCTTCCCCGCCGGGCCCGGGCCCCGCCCCCGCCCCATCCCCCACCGGCGCAGGTTCATACGCAGCACGGCCTGGACCCCCGCTCTTGCCACCCTTCGCCCCCTCCACTCAGACCCTGAGTCGCCCACCCCAGCTGGTGCAGGCCGTGGGGTTGCCAGGTGGTGATCTGGGCACCCCCACACACACCTTCACGCCCACCGCAGCCGCCTGAGCTGCTCACACCTGGGAGGGTCACATCCCTGCCTCTATAGGACACCCGTACCCAGCAAGCATGCCTGTTCCCTGGGATCTCGCTCTCACTTAAGGGCCAGAAGGGGGTGGCCAGGTGGGCCCAGCACTCCTCCCCCAGCTGACTCCCACAGGTTAGGGCCACCGGCTTCACCCCAATGCCCAGTGAGAAATCGGGGTCTTCCTAAATTCTTTCCCACTTTCCCTGGGGTTCCAGAGGTCACCAAAGCCTAGGAGGAGCCTTAAGTTATATTAATGAGTGTGTGACTGACATTTATCATAACATGTATTCTATTAAAACAATGTAATCCACATTCCTCCAACCATAGAGAATCCTTCTCTGTCTTCTCTCCAAATCAAGTTCCCTCAGAAGGTTGTATATCAACTGGATGCCTCCCAATGATCAAACCAGGAAAGTAACAGTGATACTCCTGCACCTATAGTCTTAGTGTATTTCAGAAATGTATTACACCCTACTTTGTAACTTTTCTCCAAGCTTTATTTTTAAACTGTCAAAGCCCCAGTAAACTGAAAAAGCAAAGTAAAACAATGAATACTTCAGTTATTTCAACAGTTGTGAATGTTTTGTGACATTGTATTTCTCCAAATAAATACCATGACATGTCATTTAAGTAAAACATCTTTCTGAGGAGATCATAGAAATCATTGTTAATCAAAATCTCGTGTAATGTAGGTAGCTCTGTCCATTTTTCCATGAAGTCCTCAATCCAATTCTTACATGACACACAAGGGGTATATGGACAGAGGTATTTGTCTAAATTCCTGCTGGTATGACCGTAGTCCCCAAGAAAGGCTGGAGATCTGGATCAGGTAGATAATCACATACAGGGCAATCAGGAAGCAATGTCAAGTTGATAGGATCTTTGAGATCCTTTTCAAGGCTCATACTTCAAAGCCAGGACAATCTCTACCCTCCAAAGACCCAACCAGAGCACTTTATGTCTCATCTCTCTATCATTACTCTGGAACCTGAGAAGGGCCTGAAAAAGACCACTGGAAAATTCAGAAAAATGACTCTAATTACTTCACAGATAAAGCTTTCCAATTATGACAGAATCAGGTCCCTCTCTGATCATAGATAGGAACTTAAAAATAAACTAAAACAAAACAAAAAATGCCATGATGGAAGTGACCCTGCCAACTGTAATGGATGAATATTTATTCATTTTTCTGTTTGGATGGTTGACAAATTATTAGCATTTCCTAGGCACCAAATCTTAGTCTACTCAAGTTGGACTAACCCGACTGATCATGTCACTCTCATAGTTCAAGACTAAATTTCATCTGTCAGCATTCTCCAGAGAATAAGACTGGAATAGTGCTAACCTTTTCTGAGGCTTTATTTTGTACTTTATTTTGTCAAAACATTAAATAACTTTACTTCTGCTAAATAAAGTTTTTTTAAATAACTTTGGAGATCTCTAGCAACATTATTTTATAAGTTTAAAGCACTGTTTTAGTTTTGTAATTGCTACTGTAACAAATCATCACAAAGCTGGTGGCCTAAAACAAGACAAATTTATTTTTCTTTAGTTCTGAAAGCTTTTACAAAATCACTGGGCTGAAACCAATGCATGGTCAGGCCTGTACTCTCTTGGGTCCTTTCTTTGCCTTTTCTAGCTTCTAGAGAAAGTGTCAGACCTGCATGCCTTGGTTCATGGCCCTTTCTCTATCTCCAAAGCCAGTAGAATCACATCTTCTCTGACTCTGCTTACATTTCCTTAGGTCATATGGCCTTCTTTGCCTCTGTCAAATCTCCCTCCATCTGCACTTTATATGAAAATTTGTGACTGCATTTAGGATCCACCCACCAAATAATCCAGGATAATCTCTCCATTTGAAAATCCCTAATCTAATCACATCTGCAAAGTCCATTTTATTATATAAGGTAACATTCATAGGTTGCAGGGATTAAGATCGGAATATCTTTGGTGGTCATTTTTCAGCCCACCACAAATATTTTCTTTGTGTGCCCATTTTGAGAAATTAGCTTCAGTTATTACCAATAGATACAAATGAGGCCAGTTCCAACTTCTTCATTTTTCTTCATCAAACTGCGTGAAAAATTTATCCTTAGTTTTCTGGCAATGACAGAAGACACTGAATCAAGACTGGAAAACTGGCTGAAGAATTCTTCTTTAACCTCATAAATCTTTCCTGAAATTTCCTACTGTCCAATTATTTTTTCTTCTCTCTCCATGGAATATTTATTTTATGCTGTGTTTCTACTTTGAGTACTTCTGTGATAGACATTTTGGTTTCATCAATTAGCAGAGAATTTCAAATTCCTCCTCTAAACCTAGTTTGTTTACTGGTTTGCTCTTCTTTTCTTTACATGTTTTCGTAATCAAGATGGCTTTAGTTAGTCACACTTTGCACAAGAAAGGTTAACTCACCTGCCCTTGTGAAAACATCTTTCAGATTTAAGAAGAATCCCAAGAAAGCAAGCTGAGTTTATTGCTCTTTGCAGGTTACAAGCTCTCCTTAAGTGATCTCACCATTTTCATAGTTTTAATTACCTTCCCTAGGCTAATAATTCCTAAATTCAGCCTTAGACACTGCCATGAGCTTCAATTTCACATATTTAATTGCTACCTAGAAAAATCCATTTGACTAGCTCTCAAGACTTTCAATTTCCACATATCCAAAATGGAACTATTTCTTTTCCCATAAAACATGCCCTATCCTTCATTTACCTGTGCCTCAGCTAAAAGTGCTACCATCTATGAGACACTTCAGCAGAAACCAGGAAGTCTATTTAGATTCCCCCTTTCTCTTTAATCTACCAGTTGGCCATCCCGTGTTTATAATGAATACATGACATGTCTGCTCAGGAATCTTCAAAAACTATTTTTCAATTCTCTTCTTTATCTAATTTTTCACCACTGGCTAACTAGACCTCTGCAATGCTCAAAAAAGGCCTAAGACACTTTCATTTCATGAAACTTTCAGTATGTTAACAGTAAAAAAAAAATGCTAAATTACTTGTCACTATATGTATTAAATACTTAAATTGAATGAACTAATGGTTTCAATACAAGTAAAATGGTGTTATTCATGAGAAAATTATAGGACTTATAAAAAATTCAGACTGTGTTACAGGATGTATCAATATATTAGAATACAAGTTTAAAATCACTTGATAATATATTCTTTGAAAATTCTCAGTGTGTATCTGAGACTGAATGCACAATTTCATTTGAAGATAATATTAAATGTTGATATTTGAGACTCTCTGAATGTGAGTCCAATACCACATGGCCTTTCTGTAACTTCCACTGTCCTGCCTCTCTCTCACTGATAGAACTTAAGCCAGATCCATCATAGTTATCTACATTCCTTCAAATTATGCTCCTCTCTTCCAAGGCTTGATCTACTAAATCTTAACTATCTCCCTGACCCACTTAACAGAGTAAAGTACAATCGCAGCATGGTATTTTAAGTCTTCTGTGACCAGTCTGTGACAGCTTGGCAATCTCATCTTCTGTCTCTTCCTCTTCCCAAATTTTAAGTTCTAAGTCTATGAAATGTTTGCTTCTCTGAAAAACTTAACACTTCTTCATACTTCCAGGCTACGGTTCATGCTGTTCCCACTCATCTACTGTTCCCCACTGCACCTAGCTACTTCTCAGAAATCCACCAGGCAAGAGTCATTCACTCCAGGTAGCCTTCCCTCATGCCCTTGCTGGGTGCGGTCCTCTGCACTGCAGTTTGTCCAAGGCATAACCTTGGTAGTTTTCACACTTTCATGCTTGTGATATTGTGTTCTTTGTGGGCAGAAACCATGTCTTACTTATTTTTGTGACCAGATACTCTGCAGATGACCTCAGACAGGATGGAAGCAAATGGATATTTACCAAGTTGAACAAAGCTGAGTGAACTTTGAAGGCACTGATATTTCAACTTCCAACTTCCACCAGGTGGCAATATTTTATTCTCAATAGATAGCAAATCACAAAAATAGGAACTTATGCAAGGATGGATATATATATCCACATATATAGAGAGATATCCATACTCAACACCATGCACGTGTATGTGCCTGTGTAAAGTGAAGCTATTCTTTCAGCTGCCTACGTATACTAGCAAAATATCAATGGACAAGTTGATATTTCCTTTACAATCTTTATAAAAACATAGTTGAAAAAAATATTAAATTAGTGGGCAGTGGTTAGAGTAGACCTTCCTAAATAAAAGGGAACTTGTGTCCTTTTCATCCATAGTGTTATCACCCAAAGATTTTCAAAAGTAGAGATGACACTGAACTTCAATTCTTGGTATTAGTTGGGTATGGCAGTGCATGCCTGAGGTGCCAGCTCTTGGAAGTCTGAGGCAGAAAGAACAGCCTGGGTCAGAGTGAGATCCTGTCTCCATAAAAAAAATTTTTTAATTAAAAAAATGTAAATTCTGATTGTTGAGATAATTCAAGTGTATTTCCAACTAGTGAGACAGGAGGATGGAAAGATTTTGGGGGTTTATGAGCTCTTGCCCAGTACAATTTTAACCCTTTGGCATTTACTGCCTAGAGTATGAAAGCTTGATGGTAATGCCTGTCTTTAATCTATGTTGTGAAGGATTTGATGTTATGCAACTTATAACACATTTGAAGTATCCAGTACAAAGAAGAAACTGAGAATCAGCTGACAGTAATGATGATTAGAGACAGTAGGATGGGC